TTTAGTTATAAGATATATATATATATATATATATATATATATATATATATATATATATATATACTTATGTACTTATATTAATACTGGTATCTTATAAATGGGTACTAGTAAAACTGAAACCAAGCAAATATTGGAATAGGTACTAATAGTTACAACTGGAATATGTATCAGAAGTGAATAGTTAATATCTAAACTACAGTTCCTTACAGGATTAAATGACAAAAATTTGCAATTTGTTATCAAGAACAACAGACTAACTTGTACCAGTAACTTTACAATTTGTGTTGTGGCTAGTATATAAAGAATGGTAGTAGTATCTAATGAACAGTTAGTAAACTGAAAAAGATACTAGTCACTAATAATTACTAATATTTAACAAATAAGTACTAATAACATCTAAATAGATACTAGTCTAAAGAATAAATGTTTAAACTGCTTGCCATATGTTGTGTGCCTTTATGTTTATACTGTATTGTAATGACGGTATTGCTGATTCCTTAGATGCATGTGTTTGCAGTGGGAGAGTGGAAGGCTTTTGGTATGCATGGAGCTTGGCCAAGATTTTGGTAATGGACTCCTGATGAATGAAGGTTCACCTGTAGACAAGAGTGCTGGCAGCATTTATTGTTTGTCATTTGGATATATTACCTTGTGCACATTGTAATTGGATCACAAATATTACATTTATGGGATACGCGCTAGGTGCAGTCTCTGTGTGTTTGGCACTAGAATTAATTCTCGTTTTACAAATGAGTATTTTGTTAATTGTGGCCATGATGGAGTAGCCCGAGTATTCACTGTGTTGGTTGTCAACAGCCTGTAAATCTGTTTATATGTAATATTTATCAGTGCTGTGGTTTTTATCTTGTGTTCAGTGGTTTGGGTGTAAATGTACATTTTGCAGTTTTAAAGGCGGCGCTAAATACACTCACTCACTTCACAGTCTGTTAGAGTGCTATATATAGTCTCATTCACAATAAATAAATGAATGTGTGCGTGTGTGTGTGTGTGTGTGTGTGTGTGTGTGTGTGTGTGTGTGTGTGTGTGTGTGTGTGTGTGTGTGTGTGTAAAAGAGAGAGAGAAAGAGTAGAGGCTGATTTGAAATACTGGAGTGACTTACTTAACCTCCTACCAACACTGTATCTTTTTGTCTCCATCTAATTATTTATCATCCTTCTCTCTCTCTCTCAAACAAGTGGGAGTTTGTCAGCTTGTTTTTCTCATGAAAAAATTTAGTGTCTCTTATGGTTGTGTTTAGAATATGGGTCATGTGTTCAAAAGGCTGACGTGCCTCAAAATTTGAAAAATGATTCACTACAACTGTGATGAGGTTAATTAGCAATGTTATTGTATGCCAGTACATTCTTGCATCTTTGCTAAGCGATTGTGTTTGAATTAGCCCAATATTGTCAGACTATAATTTAAACATTATTCAAGAAAAATAAAAATAAATTAAATTGCTGTCAGTGAAGCAGGCTAGAAACAAGAAGATAGAACAAAAAAAAACTGTATATCTGTAAGAACCTTCCAGTTAAATATACTCTCTGATAGTGGAAAGAATCTGAGACAATTAAGTTTCTATCACATTAAAGGGGTGTTTGAAATAACGTTTAACACTTCAAATGTAAATGGAAACTTTTCTTATTACATCGTGTAAAGCGTGTATTTGTGAGTATTTATGTAAATACACGAGTGTGTTTGAATATTAAGTATGTATTTCTGTGCATGTTGCATTTAGAGTGTTGTGTGTATGTTGATCTTTTGGTGTAAGCAGTGCCTCTCCCTATGTTGGCTGCAGTGGATGGTTTTTCCAGAGCTCCATTCAACATTGATGACTGAAGCTCAGTTTCAGAGTACCACAGACCCTCTGAAGTACCATGCAGTCCACACAAAAATATTTTTCTAATACTGTATAGCATTATTGTTCCCCAACACTGTTACTGCAAACAATATAATGTTTTAGTGTCTATGCTGTGTATACATTGTGTTGATTACAGATTGTTTAATCACAAATCATTTAATTGATTATGATGGATATACCAAAGAACATTTGGTTATAATTTTGCACTTAAAGTGGACCAATCTCATCACCCCTTCATATTACATGAGAAGGGAATTAAATGAACAATTTACCTTGTCCTGGTAGCATTGATAGATTTATTAAGTATCTGATAACAAATAGAAATACAAGTACTATATTTATTATACTAATGCTATGGTAAAGTTTACTTTGACTTCAGTGGTATTCACTCTGTTCCCCCAGGTGTTAAAAGATTTAATGCTATGATAGGCAGCCTGTAGGCCAACCGTCCTGATTGTGGTCACGTTCCCGCTTTCTGTAATGGTTGACTGGAAGGAATGGACCACATAGAGAGCTAGTCATGAAGACCCGAACCAACAAAGAATCGGTGAGGGCATTACAGCATACTGAGAACAGCATAAAAGGTAGACTGTGTGTAGATATAAGTCTTTAAGTCAGTCAGAACCATTTTAAGTGCACTTGTATCTGTTATTAAAAAGTATTTGGATATCCATAGAAGATTGTACCATTTATTAAAATAGTATTTTTCTACTTAGTATTTCAACAAAACGTTTTCTGTCACTTTATCTGTTTTTGTCTTGTGCTGTAATTTTGTCATGCTGTCTTCTCTTTCTTCTGTTTGTCTTTGCCCTCCCTCGGTCATGTTGGGCATGGCCACAGATGCCCGCTCGCAGTGGACGCAGGAGGGGGGGCAGTGAGGAAAGGAGGGGTAGACGTCCGCACCCCAGCCCGTCCCGAGCAGAGCGCAACGAAAGGCAAACGGTAAGATTAAAGTATTGTATTTTCCTCCGTCTGTCTTTATTTCTCTTAATGTAGGCCTATTTTTTTATGATCTTCTCTATTGTCCTAGTTTCTTCATCTTTGATAACCTCATCCTTGGTCCACCTCTATTTTTTTCTTATCTCTGTCACTGAATTCTTTCATGCCTCATCTATAGAGTTTAGATGACCTTATCCTGAATGTTCATGATCAGTCTTTTTCACAGTATTCCAAACCAGTGTGCATTTACAGTATGTGTTGTGTTTAGAAATTTTGTTGGCTGTTTTGCATTCACTTGTGAGCAAATTTTTTGTTTGTTTTCTTTCGTTGTTTTTTATACTAAATATAAAAATGCAACAGCCTCACATCATGATTAAAAATTATACTATGAAGCAGAGAACTGCTGGAGAGGAATTGGCTGTTGGGCTTTTCAGCCGGAGATCTCAAGGCCATGATTCATCAGAAAGTGAAGGGGAGGAGCATGTGCCACCGCTCAAAAGACAGAAAGTCCAGGTACTGGTAAAATTTTTGAAACATTGAATATAAGAACCATAAGATTGACAATTTTTATAAATATAATATTTGATTTTGCCACTAGGACTCTTCCAATCCCCCAGCCCCACCCCTTTCAACTAACACTCCGACTTCAGCTCCACCTCCAACGTCAAGCAACAGTCAATCAAGAGAAAGTGACAATGAGGATGGCCAATCACAAGGCAGTCGGAGCTCAGTTGGAGGCAGCTTAGCCAATAGTAGCAGCAGCATAAGCAGTGGACGGGACATTGACCAGGACAATCGATCCTCTTCTCCGAGTCTCTCTGCTTCCCCCTTGGCCAGTTTGGATTCTGAATCTGACTCTCCGGATTCCCCAAAGCAGGGTGATAAAATCAAAGATGGAGGGGCATCGAAATGTGTAGCAGAGGATCAGAGAGGCTCAGGGAGAGGTGAGGATGGCAGACCAGAGGACCAGAGGGACAATGAGGGAGGATTGGAGGCAGATTTATCTTCCTTAAAGTCCTCATCATCCCTCTATACATCTCATCGTGGAATGGTGGACAATGCAAGTGATGCAAGTAGCAACAGGAAGTCATACTTTCCCCTAGATTCCAAACTTGCAAACAAAGTGGAGTATACAGGTCCTGGTGGTCCCGAGACGCTACACACCTGCAGTCGCATCCCTTCTAAAACAAGCACTCAGTGTGGGAAACCTGGGGTGGGAGGAGCGGAGTATTCCCATGGGAATTCAAATGTGAGCCATGGATCGACACTCCCACCTCCACCTGCCCTGAAACCTCTAGAGGTGGGGCAGAATGCTCCAGGTGGGGATGGTAAAGCAGATAAACCAGAGAAAGGTGATAAGTCTGTTCCACCCTCCTTGCTTCCACAAACTAGTACGGTTCCCCAGCAACCTCCTCCTCCCAACACTCACCATTACACCCCCACCAGCTGGTCAGGGGGACCTCCTTCTAGTTGTCCTGGCAACTGGGGATATGTACGTTACCCAGGTAACCACCACACACATCCAAGCCAGCAGCCCCCAGTGCAGCAACAGCTTCCCTCTGTGTACAATTCTCCTTCATCCACCCGACACTCCTCCCACCCACCTTACTTATCTCACCCTCATCCCCACCCACACAAAGAGTTCCTGCCCAGGTATAGCACTGCAGCTGAACGGGAGAGGGGTGGGAGGGAATTTGGCAACAGAGACTTCCCTGCAAGTAATAGCAGTAGCAATGCAAACAGCAGCAGCGGTAGCATCTGTGGTAGCATTTCTGGTGGTGGAGGACCCAACTCTAATGTGGGCCGGGATTTTGGGAACTCGCTACCTGGACAGAACAGAGAATATAGTGCAAACCGGGATGGACCTGCAGGACCACAGAGTGGTCGGGAATATGGACCAGGGTTTAGAGATCGGGAACGAGGAACTGGGAGGGAGTTTCCTTTGCAAAACCAGCAGCTTCAAGCACAGGGCAGAGAGTTTGGAACTGAAAGCACTGGAGGGGGTGGATTTCATCCAAGAGACAAGAACAGTAGGTGGGGAGATTTAGCAGGCCAAGTTAGGGAGGCAGGAAGTAACAGTTATGCTGGTAATGCCAACCAAGCACCTGTAGGTGCCCCACAATCTGCTTTACCTTCAGCGACCCTGGTGAACCGTGACCCAGCCATTTCACCACAAAACAGCTCTGGTCATCCTCCCTTTCCCTCAACAAATTCCATCCCCACAAGTAGAGACTATCCCTCTCCAATAGATGCAAATGTGCAGCAGACACTACAAGGACAGACTCCCCAAGCAGCCTCCAATACTGCAGACCTTCCTCCCCCTCCAATCTATTTAAGAGAGTACCCTCCTCCAGGGTCAAACGATCCTTACCCACCCCCTGGATCAACCTCTTCTTCTGTCCCACTTTCTGGTGTGCCAAGGGAGTTCCCAAGCCCACCTGGACTGGCCCCAAATCTTACTCGGGAGTATCCTGGAGGACCTCCACTTCCACATCACCCTCACTATCCTGGCCAGACAGCCTTGTCTATGCAGCGCAGAGACAGAGAGCGGGAAAAGGACAACACTACATCTACTCTTCATTCAAATCGCAATCACCCTCAATCCCTTTCTCCTTCATCAAGTGGTTCTGGACCTGGTCATCCAAACTCTACTTCATATCCCCCTGCACCTCCTCCACCCTCCACTAGTTCACATTGTCAGCCCACATCCATTACATCCCTTCCAGGCAATCATGCTCGACAGGGCCCATATTCTTCATCCAATAAGACTCCACCAGCCCCGCTCTCTCCTATTCCCAATCCGATGGGAGGGTTTACTCCTTTTCCATCAACCTCTGCTCCTTCTGTACCACTCCCTGCATCAGGTGTATCCACCTCTTGTTCATCAGGTTGCAGGCCTACTCCTTACCATGGCACTTTAAGCAGTCATACTCCTTTCAGTAGCTCGTACCATGGCAATGGTAACCATGGAAATAGCAATGCCAATGGCAATGCTCCCAACAACAGCAATAGCACTAGCACTCCATCATTATTGCACTCCCCTCAAAACACTAAAGTACAACCGCATCTCAATAAACCCTGTCATAACAACACTGCTTCAACCCCCAGCACATCTGTTGGAGTAGATGGTCACTCTGATTCATCTTCTGGCCCAGTGCCACCACCTGTCATCAAGGAGGAGCCAGTAGAGGAGAGGGAGGAGTTGGAAAGCCCTCCTCCAGTTCTCCGAAGTCCTTCCCCAGAACCAAAACCTGTTGACATTCCAGTTCATGCCAGCCAATCAGCTCGGTAAGACTAGGTGTTTTACTAAAATTAAACCTAATAAAGCATCATAAACGGGTGAATTAACAATACAAACAGATTATGCAATTGATATAAAAAATAGAGATGCACAATATAATGGTGTCATATTATTGGTTGATATATCATGTAATTAATATCATATTATTGGCTGACAGCCTTCTACATAACTGTGTAGTTTCAGCCGTACTTTGTCAATGTATTGACTGAACGTTTAACTAGCTTACTATGGTTATGTTTAAGAAATGAAGGTAAATCACAACATCACTTTTATATCACGGGGATATTGGTCAGGTGTGAAACAGGTTTTGACATTTACAGAAACCAGTAATCAATTGTCAGGGAAACACAAGGGATGAGAAGATAACCTGATGTGCTAACTGATATAACACACAACTTGGTTCCACATGAAATGTGTGGGGGGAAAGCCCTCCTCCAGTTCTCCGAAGTCCTTCCCCAGAACCAAAACCTGTTGACATTCCAGTTCATGCCAGCCAATCAGCTCGGTAAGACTAGGTGTTTTACTAAAATTAAACCTAATAAAGCATCATAAACGGGTGAATTAACAATACAAACAGATTATGCAATTGATATAAAAAATAGAGATGCACAATATAATGGTGTCATATTATTGGTTGATATATCATGTAATTAATATCATATTATTGGCTGACAGCCTTCTACATAACTGTGTAGTTTCAGCCGTACTTTGTCAATGTATTGACTGAACGTTTAACTAGCTTACTATGGTTATGTTTAAGAAATGAAGGTAAATCACAACATCACTTTTATATCACGGGGATATTGGTCAGGTGCGAAACAGGTTTTGACATTTACAGAAACCAGTAATCAATTGTCAGGGAAACACAAGGGATGAGAAGATAACCTGATGTGCTAACTGATATAACACACAACTTGGTTCCACATGAAATGTGTGGTTTTTTTTTTTTTTATAGTATTGACATGTATGATGATTGTTCACCTCATGGAAAAGATAAAACCTCTTTGGTTTCAGGTTCCACAGGGTTCTTGACCGGGGTAATGGGAACTCTTGCGCCCGTAGTGATGTTCTGTTTGTTCCGCTTGATGGTTCTAAGCTTTGGAAGAAGAGAAATGAGGCCATAGAACGTGCTCGTAGAGAGGTCGAACAGCGAGTGAGAGACCTGCGAGAGAAAGAGCGGGAACAAGATAGAGAAAAGGAGAGAGAGAGAGACCTGGACAGACATCTTCAGGTAAGAGACAACAGAGCTTGTTAGTAGCATTGCAAAAAAGTTTTTTTTTCTCACGACAAAATATGGAAAATGCTTTTTCTTGTCACGGCAGTGGAGTTTGTGTTTTTGTTTTGTTTTTCTGTAGTTACTAGATTCTTTACACATTACTTGTCAGATTATTAATAAACATTTTTCTCTTTGTAGCAGAAGGACAGTTGCACAAGTGCAGGATTAGGAGCTACAGCCACACGCCAGGGCTCTTCGCTTTTCTTTCCTCCTTCGTCCTCCATCCTTCTAGACCCTTCATCATCTTCCTCATCCTCTGTGAACCCCTCGCACCCAGCAGCCCATCCACAGTACCACCTTGCCCACCATGCCTCACACCCCCACTCCATTCACCCCTCTCATCCTCTGCATCACTCTCTCTCTCATTCCATTCCTCATTCTCTTCTCCTTCCTTCTATGGCAGGGGGCTCTCCAGTTGTTGGAGGCCCTCATGGTGCTCTTGGCATAGGGCTTGGGGGTCCATACTTGGGGCCTGATACTCCAGCCCTCAGAACCCTGAGTGAGTATGCCCGACCTCACGCCATGTCTCCGTTGGGTGCTGCCAGCCGTGCACAATTACACCTTCCCCACCTTCACCACCACCCTCACCCGCATGCACACGCACATGCTAACGCTCATCCCCATGTGCATCCTTCATTTTTCCTGTCCCAATTCCAAAACCCAGCTCTCGCACACCCCCACCACCTTCCAGCCGACGCTGCCACGGCTGCTGCCATTCTGGGCTTTTTGTATGGGGGTGGACTGGAGGGAGGCCCTGCTCATCCAGGGCATGGTCCCGGGCCTGGTGGGTTGGCTGGGGCGGGGCTTGGAGGAGTGGGATTCCCTCATGCTGTAGCAGTTCAAAGAGAGCGCGTGAAGCCAGGATTTGAGTTTAAGAGCGAGGAGCGTGTCTATACAGCTGGAGCCTTAGCTGACCCGGCAATAGCTTTGTCACACGCACACTCGCACACACACTCACACTCCTTGCTGTTGGGGGGCGGGGCTGGAGGTGGAGCTCCTGGTAGTGAGGTTGCCCTTTATGGTACTACTCCACCTCCTGCACCACCCCCTCAAGCTTTAGCTGCAGCAGCTAGGAATCCAAATCCTGTCCCTCCAACTCTGTCAGTCCCATCCACCTCCTCCATTCTCCCAGTCACACTCCCCAACCACCAGGCTCCTGCAGGAGCCCCAGTGACACCAGCAGCCCCCGCCCCTCCCCCTCAACCTCCTCCCCCACCACTACCTCCTCCTCCTCCTCCTCCAACAGCCTCATCTCTTCAAAACTCTTCTCCACATTCTACCTTTCCAAATACACACCCTTCTTGTCAGCCCCCACCCCTCCCAACTCAGGCTACGCCCTCTGAACGATATCCCACCTCCGTTCGAACTCCTCCCAGCACCGAACGTGCAAGGAGCGTGGAGAGGGAAAGGGAGAGAGTGCTGCCTGCCACAGAGAGGGAGCGAGAGAGGGATAGGGAAAGGGCAGGGACAGGTGGAGGAGCAGCAGGAGGAGGCACAGCAGCTGCAGGAGGCACAGGAGGAGGAGATTCTCTCGGTCGGCCACAGATGCTGAACGTGACTCCTCATCACCACCAGCATTCACATATTCACTCTCACCTACATCTGCACCAGCAGGACACAGGTATTCACCATACACACACACTCTCACACTTTACACACTCTATTACAGCATAAAAATTTCAGCAAATTCAAAATATGATTATGTCAGTATTAGGGATGGGTCAGGATGGTCGACAACGTTAATCGTTAATCTCAACAAAATTACTGATGAAAATGTTTGTTGAAGTTTTTTTTTTCATTGTCAACAAATAAAAAAAGAGGAGCTGAAAAAAGTGCATCATGGTAAGATTAATAACCAAATTAAACATGCATACTGTTGACAAAGATGACAAATGAAAAAACTATATATGACAAAGAAAAAACAACACAGCAAAATATTAACTGCAAATTTCAGATTTTTGTTAAATATTGACATGTTTTAATATATTCATTTCATATATAAAATATTTTATTGAATTTCTCACCATTAAAAATGGTACTTTCATCTTAAATTGCATACCATTTTTCATCACCATACAAAAACTGTTACTACAACAAAATAATTAAACTGCTTAATAATGCAGTTGACAAATGCCTTAATCTATATTTTCTTCTTAGTTTTTTTCATAAATTGAGTATTTGGTGACAATTAAAGCGATGGCTCACCCAAAAATTGTCACCCTTTATTCACCCTCACATTCCAGATCTATATTGCTTGCTTTCTTTTGTGAAGCACAAAAGAAGCTATTTTTAAATTTTATATTGAACTCCATTAACTTTAAGTGTAAGGACGAAGCAATTGAAATATTCTTCAAAATACTTTTTTTGTTTTACACAAGAAAAAAAAGGATGTAGATCTAAAACATGACTAAATAAAATAGTTTTTGAATAAGCAGCCATAAACGTACCACTTCTGTAACAAATTTAGCAACATCAATAATACAGTTACTGCCAGCTAAATGTCCAATTCACTCAGAAATAGAACAGGCTATAGAAGTAAAATGGGTTGCGAACAGCAAGAATAATGGCAGCACTGTTCCTGTACAAAATAATTTTTACCTACAGTGCCACTGGGAAACTGTGCTACTCTTATTAAATTTCCCACTTTTGTTTTGTTACGTATTTGGGTGGCAGCCGCGGGAGGGGTACACCCCCTGATGGATCCACTGGCATCAGGGTCTCCCCTGGTCCGTCTGCCATACCCAGGGGCTGCTCTTGGGCCTCCCATCCTGGCACACTCCCTCACTGACAGCGAGGTGCTTCGACAGCAGCTCTTTGGTAAGAGGTGTAATGATGTTCTGTTGCGATATATTTCCTCGTTCTATGTGTTACATGCTTTTTACACTTGTTTGCATGTTGTGTACAGGCGGTCCTTTTCGTGAGATGCCCCAGTCCTCGTCTCTGGGTGGGTCCATGTCTGCAGCACACCAGCTCCAGGCGATGCAGCAGGCTCAGAGTGCCGAGATTCAGTTCCAGAGACTTGCCCTGGAACAGCAGTGGATCCACCACCATCATCACACCCTCGCCCAGGACGAGTACTACAGGTGAGTGCAAACATGTATACTGCACATAGATGTGAATGCACAACATTAGATTTTCTTATGCAATTTGAAGTACTGCCAAACCCAGTATTAGTATCACTGATGTTGCCTATTTCCAGAAGTGAAAATCCCATTCATTTTTTCATAGAGAAATTTATTTTTAACAGTAAACCTTTCCAGACAGACCTATCCTGACTTCTGACATTAAGCGATTCTGTGGAAGCCACAAGTCCGTTGCATATCATTGCTCTCTTGTTGATTTTGATTGCTTCCATTGTCCTCATTTGTAAGTTGCTTTGGATAAAAGCATCTGCTAAATGACTAAATGTAAAGAGAGGTCCTACTTGCATTCGCCAATTAGAGATTGATCTCTGTTACCATGGAAATGCAAAAAGGGATCAGCGGTGAACTCCCATTCCCATGAAGCATTTCAAATGATGTAATCCAGTCTCGCTACTCTATAAAACTTATTTTATACTTAAAAAAAAAAAGAGTGACTAAGTCAACAATTTTACATTGTACCATCATTTTTTATTCAATTAGTCATTAGCATTGACTCATGGGCTGTGTAGTTCATTGCCTCATAAAAGATGTCAAGTACCTTTTGCACCTTTGTCTTTAAGTAATTTTGTTGCTTCAAATCGAAGTATGTAAAGTATGTGATTTATGTTGGAGCTGGATGGTTTGGTTCATGGCTTGTAACTCTTTAAGGAACTTTTTGAAATCCCTGTGGAGAATGTGAATGAAAAAGTGGGTGGTCACTATTCTATAGCGATACCTCCATGTAAATATACATTTAGCATTGTATTTGAAAGGCTTGATTTTGAACATTATTTATAAAGTATTATTCAACATTAACACGTAAGGACGATATTTTTGTCAGTTTTATTATTTTAATCAGTATAAAAATCATCAATGCTGTAAACATGACTTGCTCATACCTACACAACATATCAAATTTAACATGTACAGTGCAGTCTTTTTGTTCTTTCGTCTTTGACCTTTGCCCTCCATTGCAGCCACCTAAAGAAAGAGAGTGACAAAACGCTGTGAGAAACACAGAGGACATGAAGACAAGAAAATGAAGAAGGGATGAAGTGCAAATAAAAAAGAAACAATCATTTCAAAATTCTAAATGAATGACAACAAATCTGGATAGAGGTTTGGATGTGACATCAGAACACATATCAGTCTGAACTAACTTAAATACAGGTGCAACAAACAATGTGTATATTCCAAAAAAGGTAAAATTTATAACTCTGGCATACAGCCTAGACACTGTGGCACTGAACAGTTATTCCCAAATGTCCTGGAGGATTCCTTATTGTGTTATTTCAAACACCAGACAGATGAGTTCAGTCAATGTACACATTATGCCAGAGAGAATAAGAATCAAGTTCACTCTTATGTCTTTGCATGTAGCTAGATACAAAAAGCCCAATGGGCTAAAACTCTTGATCTGTTTTTTTTTCTTCTTCTTTCTTTTTGTTTTTGGAAAACTTTACCACTCTGAAAGAGTTTATGAAAGGGTGCATGAGATGAACAGCTTACCTTCTTAATGTTTCTTTAATGTGTTTTTATTAAAATTATTAATGTTGTTTGTTTGTTAATAATTATATGATTTATATAAACATTATTTTTTATTCATTTTTTTTACATTTTCATGGTACCACTGTTAAGTTTTAATTTTTTTATGTTGAATTAATTACCTTGTGGGGGGAAAAAATGCAAGATAAAAAATAATGAAAGAGAAAAATCTGGAAATAAAATACCATTTTTTTCTATAAGTCTTTGTGTGTGCTGTTCACTGTTTTCTACTGTATCTGTGCTTGTGTGAGTCATGTATGTCTAACAATTACTGTCAAAGTGACCACAAAAATGATTTAAACTTGATTTTCCGGTTATTCATAATGAAAACAATATTTTGCCTCTTCCAGAATTGAAATTATGACACCTGATATCATTGAAGTATAGCTGTTTCATTTAATATGGTTGAATTTAGCTATTTAAAATGATCTGTCTAAACTAGTGCTGTTTTTTGATGACGCAATCCCAATGTGTAGTTTCCTCTTCCTGTTTTGTACATGATGGGGAGCTGCAAACTGTTTGAATGCAAGCCACAGAGAGTCCAGACATTGTAGTAAAAGAACAGGCCTTTCAGAACAGAGTATCCAAAGAATATTGCATCCCTTAGGACACTTTTGTCTCTCTTCTATTTCTTTCACTGTATACACATAAGGAATTGCATAAGTGTGGCTAATAAGAGACACATGCAGCAAGCGTGAGTCAGACTCCTATCACTGCAGTGAGCAGCAGTCAGTGTGGGAGGAAAAGAATGTAAGACAGTACAGAGAAGAAGAATAAACTAAATAAAGGAGAGAGGGAAAAGGAATGTATTTTACAGTTGTTAAGCTTTTTGCAACCAAAACCGTCTAGAAATGATATATTCCCAGAAAAGCATTCACTGATACAAAAAATGCAGTGGACATTTTGACAAACTACACACATTGGAGGTTATTTTCCCTAGTCACTGCACATGGATGTTAAGATGCTCAAACTGAGGTGATTTTGTGTGTGGTACTATCATTTTAAAGAGGAAAACCACTATAATGTTGGCTAAAGTTCTGGCAAGGTTCTCTCAAAGTTATGAACAAATGTTCATACAGTAACATTAATACAATATTCGTTCAAAGTTCTGGTCTTTAAAGGCAAACTCGCACTGCACCGACAGATGTTGGTCGGCATTTATTTGGTCTTGGAATCACTTAGAAGTAACATATTGTAATCTGGTGACTTTTGGCATTGGTCCTCATCTGTTGGTGCAGTGTGAATTAGCCTTAAAAACGTTCTCAAAACATTATTTATACATCATTTTTGTAATGTTTTTTTCTGTTTTAATTGTAGTTGGATGTTTGTTTTTGTAATGTTTTTGAAATGTTGCTACTTTATGTTTCAGCATGTTCAGAGAACATTCAAAAGAATGTTTCCATAATTGTAAAATTAGGACATTTCCATAAAATGGAACATTCCCATAATAATTTCGTTAACGTCTGCAAAGGCAAGAAAAATGTGCTGTTAACATTTTAACCGGACATTTTGAACATTCAGAAATGAAATTTTCATAACTTAATGGGAAAATCATCATTAATGGGAATATTAGCAACACATTCTTGAAACATATTTTTGTTAAGCTGGGTGAGCCCTACAAAATACTTAAAGGACAAAGAAAATGATCATTAGCCTAATATTCAAATGAACTCGAACCCTGACTTTTAAAGTGCATGTTTAGTTTGCAGTAAAAAATGTTACTTTAAAATGTTCATAGTTATTAAGCTGGTCATTTGAGCATATTCAGTTGAGAGTATTGAACAAGTGTTGTAACTTAAAGGCATCATATGACATTTCTGAGCCTCAGGAGTTGTTCTGCCCTCTCTGTTAAGTGCAAAATGAAAAGTGGGTCAATCATTTCTCAGTCACCTTGAATAAGTGTGCCAGAAAGCCCTACATACATAGATGTACCTTTAGATGTCTGCACCTTATAAGAGAAACAGCCTATTGTTCTGTGTTAGTGAAGAATTTACAGAGACCCCACCAAATTCACAAAGTTTCAAGATCAAATTATGTATAGCGAGCCCTTGAAACAACTAAATCTTTGAACATTTATGCAACGAAAAATATTTAATCATCAGAAGTTCAACTAAGAGTGAAATGCAAACGTGTACACAAACACACACAGACAACTGGTTGGCACACACACACACAAACCTCTATGAAATTTTTGATGAAAAACTTCAGTGAAGATGTGAGAGGTGAGGTACATTGGTGAGCGTGATTTCACCAAGTACAACATGTTCCTGGATCAACATCCTTGTTGATCCTGGAACAACATTCCAATCAACCAATCAGACTTAAAATCAGGGTTATGTGCTTCTACACCCTTGTTAATCAGCTGTCATTTCCCTCTGATTATAGGAATAAATTAAGTGTAAGGTTAGGTTTAGGGGTAGGGATTGGGTTAAGTCTATATTTTTGGACAATAATGTTGACAACAAAAACAACAAAAGATGTTGATCCAGGAACATGTCTTACTTGGCAAAATCAGGGCGACCGAGGTACTTTGTCCTGATTCGATTTATCCCATGATGCTACTCTTATTACACCATTAGATGGCAGCACCACCCCATTATGTAGAAGCAAAAGCAATTATTACACAATTACGATTTAGCTTTTTTAAATTAACTATCATACGTTTTTCGTTCATTTTTTTAATTTAATGATTATAAAATATTATTTTACAATTAACAATTAAACTTTAAAATATGGCTATGGCTGCATACTTTTCTTAGGATCATACCATTTGATAACAAACGAACTGTCAAAAAGAAAACGGTCAAATATTGAATAGACTTCCTGTTTTATGTTTCATGTCTGTGTTTTTCCAAGTATCAATAATATTTCACTACATTTTTTTTAAAATACATACATACTTACATAGGCTACATACATAAATAATTAAATAAAATAGAACTATGATTTACCCCCAAAGTTTTCAAAAATGGAGGGAAACTGTAAGCATATAAGACTTATCTGTTTTTGCTTGTTTTGTTAAACTAACTCTTTTGATTGTTACTTTTTTGAATTGCAATTCAAGAATTCCCATCTTGTTGTTCCAACTGAACTTCCAGTGGGCTGTAGCCAGCTTATTTCAGAATCCAGCTTGATACACAAACAACCCTGATATGCGTTTTTCATATTTCAAACATTTCCAATGACAGTACAGAAGGATACATCATTAAAAAAAAAGCAGTAAACCACAGGAAACTGTCCATATTAATCTCTCTCATAAACCTTCCAACCACCCAAATAGCCCCCCAAATAACTCAAATTTTGAAGAAAATAAAAAAAACATTAAATAATAACAATAAAAAAAGATAGAAATATAAAAAAGATATAAATAAATGAGTAATTGAATAAAATAATAAAAATAAACTTTAAATTCCTGACAGTCTTTTAATAGTTCTGATACACATTTTTACTATAGATTAACAAACTGTATGTTGAGCAACTGATCATTCATTTCATAATTTGTTGGATTATATATAGCGCTTTTCTAGGCACTCAAAGCGCTTTACATTGTCAGGGGGTATCTCCTCATCCACCACCAGTGTGCAGCATCCATCTGGATGATGCGATGGCAGCCATAGTGCGCCAGAACACCCACCAGCTTATTGGTGGAGAGGAGACAGAGTGATGAAGCCAATTAACAGATATGGGGATTGTTAGGAGGCCATGATGGTCAGAGGCCAATGGGCAAATTTGGCCAGGATGCCGAGGTCACACCTCTACTCTTTTCGAAAGACATCCTGGGATTTTTAATGACCACAGAGAGTCAGGACCTCAGTTTAACATCTCATCCGAAGGACAGTGCTTGTTGACAGTATAATGTCCCCATCACTATACTTGGTTGTTAGGACCCACACAGACCACAGGGTGAGCCCCCCCCCTGCTGGCCTCACTAACACCTCTTCCAGCAGCAACCTAGTTTTCCCAGGAGGTCTCCCATCCAGGTACTGACCAGGCTCAGCCCTGCTTAGCTTCAGTGGGCAACCAGTCTTGGGCTACAGGGTGATATGGCGGCCTGATAAAGCAAATTATTCCAAACAAGTTTTGCTTCTTCTCTGGTGCAGCCACCTCCCAAAGACATTTACTTTTTCACTCTACCTGAACATCTCCATGACCACGTTTGAACATCTGGCAGTTGAATCATCATCTTTGCAATGATGCTTCTTGGTTTGAGCAGCTTAACATTTCTTGTAATTAATGCTTTTCTCTGACTCAGCTGGTTAGAGAAACACACATCTGATTCTGTTACCCTTTGTGGGAAAAAAGCACTTAATTGTATTGAATATACACTTATAGTATACTGAAACTCTTAAATGTATCTAAAAATATACTTGCAGATGATATATTACTGAAATAAAAGACCTATTCATTGTATAGCCTATGACTGTTTCTTAACACACCTATGTACATTTTTTTAATGTACTTTGTAATAATGTTAAATTAAAACATTTTAAATCCTTATTTTTTTATATATGTCTATATATATTTATATTAACACAGGCTATATTTTGATGTGTTGACTAACTAAAGCACATGTAAAGTACTTGATTATCATTTATACTGCAGTATGTTATTCAATATTACTGTCAAATAATAAACTTTACATTTAAAGTTAATATATTTTAATTGTCCTAAATTGTATCTTCGTGTCACGGTCCAGGTGTGTGGAGGCAGGCAGGATGATGACGAGGATGACAAGGATATTTAATGTAGCGACAACAAGGCCGAGACAGACACACACTCGGGGTAACATTCACAATAACCGACCAACTGGAACACAATGGACAGGAACTGATATAGGGTGGATAACGAGGGGCAGACAGGTGAGCACAATGAGGTGATTAACAAATGATTGAACGGGCTAAACCAACAAAAGGGGAAGAAACCACAACAAACAGTCCACAGGGGTGTTACACTTCGTCATTAAAAATGTGTACAAATACATTTAAATACATTACATACAAGATTCAATAGAAATGACATTAAAG